TATTTTTCGTGGGGATCACAAGGCTGTATATAACTCATGTGATCCCCACACAAAAATAAAACAGCTGGCATTAGATTAAATGCATTGTTTACTTGGCTGAATGGTAAAACTGCTTAGTATATAAATCTGCCTACAAACATCATTTCATGTCCCATTTCAGAGAAATACCTGACCTGGACTGTCTATATGCCAAGGTAAGTCTATTATCCACCCAATTTGTTTTGTCCTCTTGTTTTCCCTTCCTGTATTTTTTTTTAATTTTTTTTTCAACGTTTATTTATTTTTGGGACAGAGAGAGACAGAGCATGAACGGGGGAGGAGCAGAGAGAGAGGGAGACACAGAATCGGAAACAGGCTCCAGGCTCTGAGCCATCAGCCCAGAGCCCGACGCGGGGCTCGAACCCACGGACCGCAAGATTGTGACCTGGCTGAAGTCGGACGCTCAACCGACTGCGCCACCCAGGCGCCCCCCTTCCTGTATTTTGCTGATGAAAGATGAATTTCTCCACTGTGAAACAGCAACAGTCATGCAGTTCTGGTGGGCTTAGTTATAGATGGGACAATTTCTGCACTCTCAGAGTACTGTGGCAACACATAGCTCCCTTGTGCCAAATCAGTTCTTCAGCAACATAATTAATTAACCTCTAAGAACAGAAGTTTGAATGTTGTTGCCTTGAAATGCACTAACCTTGTATTTTGCTTTTAGGCTTTTTCTACTCTTCCATGCCAAAATCATTCTGTTGTGTTTTTTCAAAACCTTGGGCAAATCAACAATGTTTCGGTATGTGCTTTTATAATCCTTCCACTGTGATCATACTGTGAGTTTTACGGCCAGATTTGGGTAGAATACACTTCCTTCTTCAGCAAAACCCATTATATTGTCTCAACATTAGTTGAACTGGCTAGTGTAGACAGGCTTAAACTCCCACCTCACTTTCTTTTTCATTCACTTTGTCTTTCTCTGCTAGAAGCAGGAAACAGTTAAAAGAGTTTTTGAAAACAATAAATTACCTTAAAAACGTATTCTGTAGAGGTACCTGGGTGGTTCAGTTGGTTAAGCATCTGACTTCAGCTCAGGTCATGATCCCACAGTCTGTGAGTTTGAGCCCTGTGTCAGGGTCTGTGCTGATAGCTCAGAGCCTGAAGTGTGCTTCAGATTATGTCTCCCTCTCTCTCTATGCCCACCCCTCAAAAATAACATTAAAAAATGTATTCTGTAATTATTTATTGATTACCGCTCTGTGTCTTGTGTGAGAGACAAAAAAATAACATATAGACTTTGACTTACAGGGCTCAGTCTAGGAGAGACATATGCTTCCCTTTAGTGCCCCCAATTAATTGCAAATGTAGTGTAATAAAGGCTTTATTAAAAGGTTTGCAGTAAGAGGGGGAGGGGGTGGGAATTTAGAGCATGACTCCTTCTAGCTAACCTTTTCACCCTCCAGGATTCTAGATAAAAACACCCGAAAGCATCAAATAGACAAATAAGAAATGACAGACTATTTGAGCCATTTTCTGTCTCTCCATTTCCCTCCCAATGATAATTGATTGACTCACCTAGCTGCTGGTGTTGAGTGGGACAGCTGCAGTGAGAGATAGCTGGCTTTAACCAGAGTTCTGGTTTTCCTTATGACATGGAGAGAAGAAGCAAAAGAGAGTGGGTAGGACCGAATGTCAAGCCTTTAAGACTCAGTAACCTAGCACACCAGGTAAAAATAAACAGTAAATAAATGTAGTAACCCAGTGCGTGTGTGGACAGACAGGTCAGCAACTCCTCTTGGGGTGTAAGTTCTTGGTGCACCATTCCCAAGTGGGAAGAGGGCTGGATGCATGTGGAAAAATGCAGAAGTGGCATCTGTAGAGTGCCAGTGCTGGGCATGGGGATGGCAGCAGGTGCCCAGATCTTCAAGGAAGAGATAAACAGAAATTGTGTGTTGAAGGGCAGGAAGCAATCTAAAGAGGAACTGAGGCTATAGAGATAGAAAGGATCTGATAATGTTAGGTGCTAGGGAATTACTGAAGAGTGGCAAGGGGGTAATAGAATCAAATATGTGCTTCAGAAAGAGAATTCTGACAGAAATGTGGTGGGAAGATTGATGGGGACAGGTGTGGTAGACAGCCAGGAAGGTATATTGCCTATATTGCAGTTATCCAGGTAATAAATGGGAAAGACCTAAAAAACAAATAGGCAGTGTTTGCTTGGAACACAGGAAAGGGAATATATTTAAGAAGCATTCTAGAAACAGTGCCTGTTTTAGTCTTTATCCCAAACTCACCGAGCATGTAAGTCACTACCTGAGCGGGCAGAGGCAGAGATAGGCCAAGAGTGTTATTCTAAAGAAGTTTCTTTCATGAGGAAGGAAATATCAGGAGTAGGGAATTAATGACCTTGGACAACACTAGTCTCCACCAGCTTGCAGTTCCCTCTGTTCTTTGGAGTTACTGCTAGACTCCAGGAGGTTTATCTAGTGCCAAGGCACTCTATGTTTAGATGGCTTGATGTCACAGTTCAAACTGGGTTTTGTTGAGAGGCCATGAGTGCAAAAAGTCCTCACTCAGGTCCTGTGGGGCTTCCTGCTACTCCTGTGAACCTTTTTGGTTCATGGAAACCAATCTGATCTTCCACCTGGACCACACTGGGCTGGAGGAAGCTCACTAAAGTTGCCTAAGGTTCCATCTGCCTAAACACACCATGTGCTCATTTCCATCCTAGGTACAGTGAGGAATGGGTCTCCTGTGCTCTCAAAACTAACAAATATAATTGGGGTTTTGCTGCTCCTGGAAAGTGGCCCAGAAGTGGCCCCACTTTCTCTGAGTCCCACCAACAGTTTTGTTCTTTCTTCCCTCCTACAGCCATGGGAATTATTTCCTAGGTAGGGAGTAGCGTTGCTCTTCCTCCTCATGTACACCCACAAACTTTTTATCTAAATCCAGTGCCCTAAGGAACCAGACTTCTGAAACTCAAAAGAGCCTGTGCTGACCTCATACCCCTTTCCTGAGGCAAGAACATTAAATGGTCTAGAAGTTCAAATATGTGATAAAGAAGAGAGAGAAAGAAAATAAATTCAAAAAGCTTTGGTTAATTTCAGTTGAATTTCCTTTGCATAAAATATAATCACATGGGGGCTAGGACCACATCTGTTTTGTGCCACATCCTTAGTACTTAGCAAAGTGTCTGACATCTAGCAGCACTCATTGTGCTACTAGAAATAAATACAAATGCATGAGAGTTAAACCCAGGACTAAGCCTTGGTTGTGGATAGCTCATTACACATTCAATTTGGCAAGTATGTATCAAACACCTACTACGTGGCAGGCACTGTGCAAGACCCTCCTGGATGGTGCTAGAGCCTTCCTACAGTGTGAACAAGACAGGTGAATCCCTGCCTTCGTGGAGCTTACTTCCATTGTTAATAAGGAAGACAATAAACAACAGATCCTTACAAATTGATAAGTAATGGAGAAGAAATAAATACGGTGAAGTAACAGAGGATAATTTAGTGATGGGGGAATGGGGATGGGGGGGCGGTGAGAGCTGTTAATCTGATTGCATTTTCCCTCCAACCATCCTGACCCCTGAGAGTAAAAATCAAACTTAAGAAAAAAAAATTAACAAAAGTAGTAGTAATGTCAGTTCAATGTAAAGTCATATGAAGAAAGCAAATACAGAATTTCATGCAATATCTACATCATTGTCATGCAGGCACACTAATACTACATGTGCATAGCTGTGGTTAAAACATCTTGGGCATTTTATTTCTCAAGTGAAGTTCCATGGGCATATTCTGTTTAAAGTTCATTTACAATGACATGCAATAGAGTATACACGTTGTTTTAATGTTAGTTCAGTTCTTTCTCTTCTGTAGATTGTACAATTCAAGTTTGTTAGCACTTGAAAAAGGTGTGGCTCACTTTAGCAGAGAAAATAAAAATGTCCCTTTACCCCCAGAAAAGGGATAATATTTTCTAATTTTGCAAACACTTGATGAAGGTATCACTTGACTCTGTATTTTTACAGCTGCTCAGCATTTATTATTGGAGAGCCCCTTCTCACAGTATGTTTCTCTTTCATTTCTAGTCAAGGGGTGTTAATATTATTTTGTAGTTATTCAAATTTGAGAGAGTGATAAAGGGCCTCTCTTCAGGGGTTCTTACTAAACAAACCCCTGACTTCTTACTCCTTTAAGGAAAAATAAAAGGTTCTTGAGGAAAAAGGAAAGAAAGGAAAAAGGTGTTAGATTATGAGTTTCTTGGTTAGGGAATCAGAACTATTTAGTGTGGAAACTTCAAGACCTTGCATTTGTCTGGCATTTGGCAGGTACTGGGAAAATGGTCGCTGACTGAATTGGTTTGACAAGAGTCAGGGGATTACCCTCTTCCTTATACAGATGGAGAAACTGAGGCTCAAAGAACTTGTAGGTGTGTTTACATTGGGTTTCACACTTTGCTAAGGGCTCTCACCCAAGTTAGCACATTAAAAAAATTTTGTTAATGTTTATTTATTTTTGAGAGAGAGAAAGAGAGCACGAGCAGGAGAGGGTCAGAGAGAGAGGGAGACACAGAATCTGAAGCAGGCTCCAGGCTCTGAGCTGTCAGCACAGACCTAATGTGGGGCTCAAACCCACGAACCGCGAGATCATGACCTGAGCTGAAGTCTGGCGCTTAACCGACTGAGACACCCAGGCAACCCCCAAGTTAGCTCATTTAAAAGTGGGTCTGCACCATCATTATAGACAAGTAGGAAATGTCAGTAAAAAGATGAGAGTAATGATGTGTTTGACAGTGAATTAGTCACTGCCAGACTCCTCTATATACAGCGAGGCATTCTCTGCTGCTAAGGGACAACTAAAATCTAATGATGAAAAAAATTCAGGTCCTTAGATAACAGTAAAAAGCGGATTACTCTTCTAAGGACAAAAACAACCAGAAAAGTTACTGGCAATCTTTGCACTAAAATAAGTCCCATCATATATAGAAAATAAACTCTCATATACTATTGGTGGTGGTGTAAATTGGTTCTATTTTAATGCAGGAGAATTTATGAATATTTACCAAAATTAAAATGAACAAATCTTTGATATAGCAATTTACTTTTATGAATGTATTCCCATTATAGTCCTATTGGCATAAGAGTGCATGCATATATGAAGAAAAGGATTCAGTGACTGTAAGGATGTTCACTGTGACATTGTTTGTAACAGAAGACAACTCAGAACAGCTTAAGTGTTCATCAAATAGACTGACGGCTGCAGAAATTATGAGTTATCTGGGTAGTGATATTTTATGCAGATATTTGAAATGGAACAATCTATGCATCGACATGAAAAAAAAAAAAGACCACAATAAATTACATCAAAAGCAAGCTGCTTAACAGTATGATTAACTTTGAGTAAAAATACTCATCAAAGTATTCGTGATGGCTACTTCTGGAAAGCGAGATGAGTTTTGTTGTTGTTGTTGTTTACTTTATACAATTCCCTACTACTTGATTTTTCAATGGAACTAGATTACTTTTAAAATTCAAAAGTTAAAAACAAGCTGTTGCACTCTGGCCACCTGAGAAGCTTTTTAATTTTTAACCAAGAGTAAGAGGACCCAGGAAATGGTTATTTTGCCCTACTCTGCCTTGGTGCCTCACACTGTGTTTGGCACACCGTTGATGCTCTCTAAGTACTCTCAGAATAAAGGAGTAAGGATGACCGACCCTGGTCACTCTTTCATGAAGTGAGATGGAAGGACGTAAGAACATCAAGGTTTTCTAACCCTAGAATCTAAGCCAGTGGGTCAACAGAGAAGTTTATCACATTAATAGGGTTGATTTATATTAAGGAAAAACTGGTTGTATAAACATCAACTCACTAAAAAACAGTCTGATCGTTCTATTTGCATTGGATAAGGATTCTTAATGAGTCTCCACCATGTTTCTTTGTCTCTTGGGCATTTATCTGTTGGCTTGGAGGTCATAAAGAGGAAGGAATCTCAGACGGAGCTCAACAGTCCAGCCGATTCAGACCCTGAACGTCCTCAGTACCATTCCCATAATAAGGAGCTCAGATTGAACACTTCTTGGGTCAGTGCTTTCTTCCCACAGGGTAATTCTTTCCTGATGAGCCCCAACTATCAGAAAGTTCCTTGTTGCAATGAACTGGAATCTGCTCCTTTGAAAAACTGACTCACGGACCCTACCTCTACCCCCAGTGTCACATACAATGGATCTAAACAGCTCTGCAGAGTGGTTTAAGAGAGTGGCTGTGCCAGATCTGCCTTGGACCCTGGCTTCCACATGTAGGTGTTGTGTGACCCCCTAGGCAAAGACTGGCAACTCTCTCTAACCCTCAATCTCTTCTTTACAAAATGGGGATTATAGTTTCTTCCTCATGGGGTTGTTTTAGGAAGATAATGAAATAATCTATGCAAAGTACCCATCACAATGTGTAGTACAAAATGCTCAACAAATAATATCCTTACAATTTCCAAAGACCTTTACCATGAGGTATTCCATGAGGAAGCAAGGAAGAAAGTGGCACAAACCAGCAAAGTTAACATATAAGGTGTCTGTCGGTAAAATGCATGCCTGAGGACCTTGATCTCAAGAGACTCCTCTGTGTTTTCTTCACTTAGAAACAAATTATAAAAAACACTCCCAGTAGGGGGAGGGGAATTTCATACCATTAATTTAGCAACAAAAAGTCTGTACTTTGACAATTATAGACACTAACTTATAAAAGTAACTTCAGGTGTTTGAGAATCTCACTCACCTCTGGGGGACACAAGGAAAGAGCTCCCTCGAGGGCTTCTCTCAAAACTTGTCTCCCTGAAGCTTGCTCATATTCACACAGCTGTCAGGAGAAGCATGAGCCTTCTTCAGCCATTCTGAAACTTTTCTTGGGGCTAATGACTACCTATCCACCTAGATTTGACTTTATGTTATTATTCAAGACGTAAATTATAAATCCTATATATATTCACAACGTAGACTTATATTTACAACATACATCTATCTATATTACGCGCCGTATGAAATTTAGTAGGGTAGGAGGCTTTGGGATCTAGGTCTTGTCTTGACCTGGCCACTGACTCACTGTGTGACCTCTTAGGATCTCAATTTACTTATCTATACAATGGCTACAATTGAGGAATCTTATGCTATCTTCTAAGGATCTGTAGGTTTGCACAGCCATGCTGGGGGCTGCTTTAATTGGGCTTCAGGCTTCTCTCATTTCAAGCAGAGTCACAATATTTAAAAAAAAAAAAAACAAAAAAAAACAAAAAACCTGTTACATATCTTGGGATTCTGCTTGAAAGCCCATTTGAAAAATGAGTCTTTTTCACCAAAAGATGTTTGGAAAAAAAAAAATCTCCAAATCACATGATCCCCAAGGCTGGGTTCCTTTTTCCTGTTTGTATTTCAGAGGTGGAGAGGGAATGAGGAGGAAGGGGTTGGGAAGAAGAGGCCACTGTGACAAACAGTAATTTCTCAGTCTTACCAGGCATGGTTAAGAACAGGGTATTCTGATCACTTAATGATTCTTACTCACTTTCTTCCTAAGTATATTACCTAACGGTATCAGGACATTGGATATGAACAAATCCCTTTTTATCATTCAGTTGGTACCTAACACCCGGGACATTTAAAATGACTTTGTCCTCACTCTGCCCCAATTCCTAGCCCCAGGTTTAAATCACTAAAAAGAAAATCTTTAGCACTCCAAGTCAATGGCTCAGTCCTTCCAGGAGCTGTCTTGTGGCATCCTTACAACAAAATAACAGAAGATGGAAAGTGTAATCAGTTTGGGAGGTGACATCAGCAGTCATGAGGTCAGTCTTGAACTCACAGCAGGAGAGTTTGTGGATGTGTCCAGATAGCAGAGGAGATTCTGGGTGCCCCACTTCTCATTAACTCCCTGCAAATGTTCCCTCTGGCAGGGCAGACCCCTGATGTAAACCAGTCCCTTTACTTTAGAAAAATGTGAGCTGCTGAAAGAAGCCTATTGAAAGGGCATCACAGAGCTGCACCCTGACTTGGTGAATATTTGGGGGTATGGGAGGTGGAAGGGTTTATAGGAGAATAGTGGGGTTATGTGGGGGCAACATCCGACTGAAGAGGTACCTCTTGAATCTCTGTGGCCACTGGAGTGCACAGCTGTGGAGCTCAGCTGTATCAATAGGGCCACTGTGGCCTGCGTGTTGGGCTGTGACCTCCCTCTGCAGGGACAGCGGGGTGCAGCAGAAAAGGGGTTCGACGTGGAATCAGAAGACTCAGGTGTGAATCTCAGCTCCAGGACAAGGTGCTTCATTTCTCTGAACCACTATTTCCCTAACTGAAAAACAAGAATAAAAATACCCACTGGATCTGCCTTATGGGCATGTTGAACAAAACAGGGCCTGAAGAGCATTTCGTAAGTTAGAGAGCCCCACAAATAACGTAAACTGCATTCAGTAGCCAATGAGATAGTTGTCCAAATGTGATCCTTAACAAACCCCCAAAAGCTTGCTCAGAGCACTTTCCCAAGATACTAATATAAAAGGTTAGTCACATCAAATAAATGAAGTGCTTCACTGTGTTCACATAATTTTCCAGTAAGTCTTAATTAAAAAAACCCGTTGTATCGGATACTCTATAAAGAACTATATATAAAATTACAAATCAAGTTGTATATGAAAAATTATACATATGATAAAATCTATATATGATTTCAAAAAATACAACTAGATTATTCTTAAAGGACTACTGTAGTGGCAACTGATCTTGTAAGTGTACACACTTATATCAAAAAGTTTTACCATACCATATGCTCTCACTCATATGCAGAATTTAAGAAACAAACCAAACAAACAAAGAAAAAAAGAGACAAACAAAAAAGCAGACTCTTAAATACAGAGAACAAGATGGTAGTTGCTGGGGGGAGGCGGGTAGGAGAATGGATGAAATAAAAGGGATTAAAGAGTACAGTTATCATGATGAGCACGGAGTAACGCACAGAATTACTGAATCACTATACTGTACACTTGAAACTGATAGAACACTATATGTGAATTACACTTCAATTAAATAAAAAAAATGCTCATCACAGTCCAAAAAAAAAAAAAAAGTCTTACAAAAGTAGACTAAACCCAGAGTCTCCATTTTAGAACTTCAATAAGTAGTGTGTGCTTTACTACTCCTATTTTAGACCATTGCATGTTGGAGTCATCCATGTAGACTGAGAAGTTAGAGACCTTGGAGCTCTGCTTCCTACAGAAGACCATCAACTCTTCGATCAGGAAGTTCTCTGGAACAGTCCTCTTCATTTTCCTCTGAGCAAGACAGGTTCAGTGCATTCATCACGGGATGGATCCAGGATGTCGTCTGTGTTACATGACTTGAGAAGAACAAGGAATGCAATTACAGTCTGAAAGATTGTCCTTCTACCCATCCATGCAAGTACTGATCCCAGTGACACTGCGTCCACCCTACTGCAGCCCCTGGTCATGGGAAGCAACTGCAACTCGATCCAATCATTTTGAAAAGTCTTGGATATGTTTTATGGTTCAACAAAACCTATTTGTTTCTTTATTCTTTGGTAGAAAGGAATGTAGGAGAATGCATCATCTTTGACAACTTGTTCTCCCTTACCCGACATTCAGTCAGCAAATCCTGGGATTCTCTTGCTGAAACATCTGTGGAATCTTTTACTCCCCCCCTCTTCCAGGGCTATACTCTGGGTCACCGAAACAGCTTGTCTCTCTGCCTCTGTTTCTACTTCTTTTCTAATTCAATCTCCTCTAGCCAAGAGATTTTTCTAAATGACAAATCTTACGCTGTTGCTTACCTGCTAAAAATTCAGTGCCAACCAATGCCTTCTGGATCAAATACCTACTCCATGGTATGAAATACCTTGATTTTTTTTTTTTTTTTACCTGCCTCAATAATACTTTTTTTTTTCTGCTACAGTCTTCCTCCCTCCCATCTTGTTTATCTAGTTAACTTAGACTAATTCTAAAGAACCAAATTTCCCTAGGGGCGCCTGGGTGGTTCAGTTGGTTGGACATCTGACTTCAGCTCAGGTCATGATCTCACAGTTCATGGGTTTAAGCCCCACACTGGGCTCTGTGCTGACAGCTCAGAGCCTGGAGCCCACTTTGAATTCTCTGTCTCCCTCTCTCTCTGCCCCTCCCCTGCTTGCACTGTGTCTCTGTCTCTCTCTCTCAAAAATAAATGAATAGACTAAAAAAAAAAACAACAAAAAACCCAAATCTCCCTCAAAATTCCTCCAATCTGTGTTCCTGATCTTATCTCTTATTACACTGTACTTTAAGTGTCTGTTTATTTTCAGGCCTTCTTACTGCATATGAAGTTCCATCAGGGCAGGAGCTATGTTTCCTATGCCTGAATTTATATGGTGCCTAACACGTGCTCAGAATGAATGACTAGGCATTTCAGGGAAGAACACAAGCAGAGGTAAGGAAGGATGTACAACAGGTACAGGGCATGTTCAGGGAGCGGTGAAACAACATTACAAAGTGTGTCTCTACCTGCTGGATGGTGTTTCTCAGACCTGGTTTCCAACCCTCAGCCTTTGGCTGAATGAATCTCCTGTATCCACCACTATCTGCCCAGCTCCTGAGTGTGGACAGGCAGCTTCTGGAATTAGGATGATCTGTTTCTTCTTCCTGGACACTCTTTCTACCACTGGCTTACCCTACTGCCCTCATCCATTTAGATCAGTCTCCCCTGACTCCTATCCCACCCAAACTCAACCTCGGAAGCAGTACCATGTCTTAGATCAAGTCCATCTGAGGGCTGGCACTTAAAATGATCAAATAAGATGGGGGGGGGGGGTGTCTAAAAATATATTCTACACGACAAAATAGCATTTCCAAGGTATGTTAAAAGGGTTTTTAATTACTGTTACGTGAAGAAGATAATTCCATGGTCAAATAAGTTTGAGATACACTAGGTTAAACAGAGCTAAAGTTTCTTAACTGAAGGACTTCCCTAAACCTTAAATATATTAACATGTTCTATGCCTCTCCAACAGTATGTGGTATTACTCAAGCTAACGTGCCCCTGTTAGCACATGTGGGACCAGTGTTCCATAGAGCATAATTTGAGAACTATCACATAAATGCACGGACTTTATTGGCTGATGACGGCAATAACTGAAAATGTTGGACTTACTACAAACAGGCAGTTTCATCGTCAGTGATGTTTTTGACCCTAAGTCCTAAATTCTCTGCATATATCTCAAAACAAATTGTTCAACTCCTCAGTTTGAATATTAAAATTCACTTTTCCACGGAAGATCGCTGATACTTTCATGATGGCATAAACAAATTTAAGTTGCTTTGAGAATCAAGGTGAAGGTGGCAAGGCCCAAACATCTTCATCATTTCAAAAGCTCAGAGTGTGGTTAAGTGGTACAAAGACTCATTATTCTCTTGACAGTAATCCACATCACTGTTATCTCTTTAAAACGGTTTAATGGAATTTCTTATTATAGTGACTAAACTTACTGAAGCATTAGATTATGCACAGGTTAACTTCATTTCCAGGCCTTTGGGGTTGGGGGAAGCTGCAAGTCTGCCCAAGTTGAAAGTGGCTTTAAAGAAATACTAATGAGTGTAACATAAGAGGGCCAGGATGCCGCCACAAGGTAAAATGAGGACACGTCATTCTGTAAAAAGCACCTGTTTAAAACTAAAAGGAAAAACTTGATGAGACAATTTTGCTAATTTAAAAAATCTTGGTATATTTACTTTGATGTGATGATGCACATTTGTAATATGTTAGTCTGAAGAAGAGACTAAATTCTTATAAATCCTCCCTCCCCAGTAATGTCCCGTAATTAGGAAGTGTGGGAAGGAGGGAAAACAGGAACAACCACCTGAGGAATGACTTCAGGTGCACACTCTCCTATTAAACCTTCTGAAAAGTAATATTCTCATGCTTCAACATTATAACTATCTGTAAATGGACATTCCATTAAACTTATCACTTAGATGAAGCAAAGGCAAAATGTCTAAGGAAAAAAATGTAGTTATAGACTCTGAACGATGACTATTAGAAAGTTCCCCTAGAAAGTGATCTTTGCCAGGAAACTTCATCGGGCACTTTTACAGGAACAAGTCTACATCTGAACCTTTTCCAAATCCAAAAGTAACATCCTAAAATACTAACTGATTTAAGCTTATGTTCACAATACACTTCTCCATATATGTTTAAAAAAACACACACCCAAACACCAAACATGCAATTACAAAGGGTACTCACTGGAAAAAAACAAAACAGCCAACAAAGGGATAAGGTTTCTATACTTCAAGTACACCTAGGCCTTGTGTAGAAACATTCAGACTCATGCTTCTAAAACTCAGGTAATGCACATAAAGTGCCTGGCAAAGAGTTGATATTCAATAAAAGATCATGGCTAGTTTTGTTTTGTTTTTTGATAATTAGAACTTTGTGATTATTGCAAGAAAAACTTGGAACTCTTCCTATAATGCTAGAACGGGGCCATCTGTGTGTATACCATTCAATTTTATGTCCTAGTGAGCATAGTGACTAAAGAGCTTTGACATAATCAGTATGAAGAGATAATCCCAGATTTACTGGCTTGGAGAACATTCTAGTATTAGAGATATTTCCTCTCTGATTTGTGTGCTTGGTAATTCAACTGAGAAGAGACAGACCAAATCAGTCCTGTTGAGTCTGTTTAATTAATAAAGACCCCATGGTTCATACAGTGAGATGCTGCTACTTAGCATGAAAAATTTAAAGGTCTGGAGAATAAATGAGGCTGACTATGGAACGTAAAAATCTTCCATTTGAACACACACTACCTCTGGCAAATGTTCCTGCAGGGAGTGCATCTGACCTGATTTGGGGAGCAATCAACAGCAGTTCAGATATATCGGAAAATCCAAAAAGCATAATACCACTTGCCTCTGAGTGATTGCCAAATCTGTTGGTGGAAAACAGGAATATTTGATCTAGGAAGATGACAGTGTTGTGGGGTTTTATTTTTCTTTTATAATATTAGTAAATTGAAAGACATATTTTAGAACTTATAAAAAAACTTAAGAGAACATGCTTTATTTTATTGGCAAAGAAATGTAAGTGAATTATTTAAATCCCATTATAATTACCCTCCTTATGTTTCTTACCTCCTAGCATGCAAAATGCTTTCTTTCAAAATAAAAATTTAGGACAGCCTTTAAGAGAAAAGTGGTTTAAAGACAGGAAGTGCGCTAGTTTTGAAGAAATTCATTCTTAATAACCGTCTGTGATGATATAAAGGTTCTTTTGTTAAACTCCACTGTAAATGGCACTATTTATATATCACTATGAATTTAGCAACACTGCATGTATAATTTTATCATGTTTAAGATAAGGCTGCAAAATAATGAGCCAAAGTAATTAACTTGCAATGTCCTTTTTTGAGGGTGGGGGGATAATCCTATTCATATAATATTCATATGAATGAGAAAATAAAGACAAATAAGTAAATATATGTTCACTCAACCTGTTTCTGGTACCAGTATCTTGGAATCACTGGAAAATTTTACAACTGGCCATAAACTGCAAGTAGTAATAATAATAAAAGACTTATCCTTAAAAAATAATCCCAACTGGGGGCGCCTGGGTGGCGCAGTCGGTTAAGCGTCCGACTTCAGCCAGGTCACGATCTCTCGGTCCGTGAGTTCGAGCCCCGCGTCAGGCTCTGGGCTGATGGCTCAGAGCCTGGAGCCTGTTTCCAATTCTGTGTCTCCCTCTCTCTCTGCCCCTCCCCCGTTCATGCTCTGTCTCTCTCTGTCCCCCCAAAAAATAAAGAAACGTTGAAAAAAAAATTAAAAAAAAAAAAATAATCCCAACTGAAAACAAATGGGAAGGTAAGAACAGAAAGTGATCCATGTCAGGACGCTTGTGTAGCTCAGTTGGTTGAGTGCCTGACTCCTGACTTCAGCTCAAGTCATGATTTGATACCAGGTTTATGGGATTGAGCCTTGTGTGGGGCTCTGTGCTGAGCATGGAAGCCTGCTTAAGATTCTCTTTCTCTCTCCCTCCGCCCCCTCCCCTGCTCATGCGCTCTAAAGAGAGAGAGAGAGAGAGAGAGAGAGAGAAAGTGAACTATGTCAATAAAATAATTAAAAAGTCACCAAACCTTGGTGAGGCAGCACATAGCCTCGTCAGACACTGGTTACGAGAATGACTAGGAATCAGTGATATGAAGTAATCTATTCTCAAACATGTTTAAGAGAAAATCATAAGTTGTTTGTTCCTAGTGACATATAAGGAGTTCTCTCTTACATAATTTTGGAAATACAGCCCTAAAATCAAATAGGATATTTCTTTTTAAATATCACAGAACACTTCCAGCACTTT